GCGAATTCAACATCCTTATAAAAAACACTCGTCTTTATGTCGTTAACGAGTGATTAAAGGTAAACATCTTACTCTTCTCGCGCGGGTCTTTTAGAGGTTGCAAAATTTTCGACTTTACCAAATTCTTATTTTCCATAACTATTGATGACTTCATTAACAACAAAACGTAAATTTCGGCTTATTGTACGCACTTATCGCTTGGGGGCACGTTGATTACATTTTTACACTATACTTTACGACCTTACGAAAAAAATTATAGTTTTGAGATATGTGGAACATAGCTGAATGATAGAGGTCCTTATCCAAAGTGGCTATCACAAAGTGGCTAGTTTTTGAAATGAAAATACCTATATTAGAATGGCGAAAGTGTATACCACGTTAACTTGTGACGGGCGTTTTTATATGGAGAGTGGGTACGAATTGTTTACACCTCGCGTTTGTACGAGAGTTTTTATCGAGACAAATAGTAACTGTGGAAGAGAAACCAACATAACACGTCTCTTCAGTCTTAAATTGCCGAAGCTTTTGTTATTAACGCCATCTATGGTTCATCGTATGAGCTTTATAAGGTGCTTTGTATTTGAATCCAACAAGAAGTTACAGTAGTTTTTTTAGAACTTTGACCGCCATGTATTGTTTTTGTAATGTGCGTTTGTATTTCTGTTAAAGCGTCGCTACAATCATACATATCAGGTTGTGTTTGAAAGGTTTCGTTCCTGAATATTATAAGTCAGCATTATATCATCTCGGAAATGTGGCATGGAGCATTTATATGACCAGAAAACGTCCCGTGTTGACTGGCATCCCCGTTGTTAAGACCAGAACTTGGACAGAAACCAATTTTTACAATTTAATATATGTTGTGAAGTGGAATAGCTTATTGTTGTTGTAAGAAGAAGATATAAATAAATTGAGGTGATGATTTGATAAGATATTTCATAACTATACACCTAGCAAAACCTGACTATAAATGTATGAAAAATGACAATGAAAAATATTTACATGCACAATGTTAAAAACCAGCAAAATTGCTACATTTTTAAACTTGAGATAGTATTGTAATGGGAAAACGTAAAACATAAAAACAAGAATATTTTCTCAAAACAACACGTCATCTTTTAACCAGACGTATGTCTCTCATTTCCGTTTGTAAGTTAATTATGACACAAAGTACAAGAATAAAGCAAATTTTATCCGATTCAATAGATAAATTTGTACTTGAAATTACGTAATGTGGAAGACAAGAACGAAATAAGAATGTTTTCTGAAAAACAATAAGTTCGTCTTATAGCTGGTATAACTTAATTATGAGACTAAATCAAGAATAAAATAAATTTATTTAACTGGTAAAAAACTCGCTGAACTGTTCGCACAAGTTGTCCTATTATTTGAGGATTTTGCATAATATGCGCTTGAATCATGTTTTCATGTGGAGATGACGTCATATGCCTCATGTGCTTGATGCATATTTAGAACACTGATGTGATAATAGACTGGATATAGCTTCTATAGGTAGCAGTAGTGAAACCTTATTATAAATGCAGAATTCACTTCCGGGTACCACAAGAGATGCAAATTACTAAAGAAATGTACAGCCGATAACGTTTATAAACAAGGATTTTCTATTATTAAGGCATTTCGCGACCTTTTACTAATCTCAAACATCTGTCATGGATTAAAAAAGTTAAGTTATGCTAATATTTGACATCAAAATGATTCCGATATTTGCAAAATATTGGCGTTCGTGTTCAATTGAAAATTGCGCGTGTAAGAAACGAATTTCCCCATCGTTGCAAAGACAAGATAATTCACAGCTAATTTTCCAAGTTCAGAGGCAGTTATGATCTAGAATGAGTTTCAATGCTTAAAAAATGCGTATAGTACTTTCATTCCTTTATTCTATCATTCTTTATTATCTAGAGACAGTTGTATATAAGTTTTGCCGTGACTTCATTAAACAGGTACCATTGGTGTAGGAACAACACAAATTTACTAAGCTTTCCTCCTTCCTTTATTCTTATTTCCATTTCTGTGTTTATTTTATAAAAGTAATGCAATCACCACACCTTGCTATAGAATTTGGATATGGCCATGAGAAAGTATGGTTTTTATTGAAAAAGTATCCAACATTTTTATCAATTGCAGTCTATACTGTAACATCAAGAATTGTATTCCCATGTGGTAAACTGCCATCTGAAGTTAAAAGCACCTTTCTGTGTTGCATACTTAAATAACAAAAGCTGTTGGTTTGAATCAAAGTACTCCTGTCTTTAAAGACAGGAAAAAAGATTCACTTTTGTAATTTCTTTAAACCTACAGCTTCTTAACAAGTAGGCAGATGGTTTTCTTTGGCAGCATTTGGCAATAAAGTTCGAAGTGGCTATAACTACGAGAGTTGTACTAATACATATAATTGTTATTGTGACTATTTTATAAAAATTCATTTTGCTGAATATGTGGTGATGGTTGTATGGCCGAGTGGTAAGTGCAGGGAATATGGAGCCAGTATGCTGGGCACATGATACCTACAAATAAGCATCATGCTTCGTTTCAAATATGGCGGCGTAAGTATCGTTCCAGTTATTTATAAGTTCACTGGCTGGGCACAAGTGCGAACTTCGCTCCCATGTTAATTTTGTCGAATTATAAATATGTTTTGTCGTTCATAAAATTTTGTTTTTATTTGGGTTTTGTGTTAGGTTTATTTAAGTTTTTAAGACATAAAAATACTCCCGTACGAATAGCAAATAATCAAGAAGTACGGGTACAGTACGAATAGCCACTGAAAACAAAGTTAGCCATGTAAGATATTGCAATCATTTTAAATTCAGAAGCAGTGGAAAAGCTGTGTGCACTACTATGATCTTGATCATCATTAAAGTATCATCATGGTTTATGTTTGTCCTGTCTTTAAACAGGATGTTTTAAAATATCAACTATTGTTATATCAATATGAAATAAAACTGAATGGTTTTACATAAGAACTGTTTAACATGCTTTCCAAGAAAAATGAGCAGGAAATTAAATTTCCCCGGGGTTGCTGACCTGACGGGAGATGTAGTTCTCCGATGATCTTCGAAGACTGATATGAGCAATAATGGTGCAGATCCGCGGTCAGCAGGGGACTGGTACCCACGTTGATAAATATTTACGCATGCGTGTGCTCATCCTTTGATGGAGTGCAAGCTGAGTCAAAACGTGGAGATAAGTAACACAGGGAGTGGTGGTAATATTGTCCGTTGGGGGAAAGCAGTATTATTAATATCAGTCTTCGAAGATCCTCGGAGAACTACATCTCCACATCAGGTCAGTACCCTCCTGGGAAATTTAATTTCTTTTTCGTATCTTCTCCGACTGATACTCGCAATACTGGTGCAGATTTCAATGTCTTGCTGCTACCACTGCATATTATCATATTATCACAAATTATCATATCCAAGCAAAGATTTTTATATAATATTCTCTCAACATAAGATTTTAAACTGATTCAGATGAAGTTAATGCTGCTCTTACAAAAGTATCCTTATGCGTTTTAAAATAATGTTTCTTGAAGACTGTTGCTGACGACCAATCAGCAGCATCTAATACGAGTTCCATGGATACTCCAGATTGTGCCGCCTCCAATGTTGATGCTGATCTGGTGGAATGACCAGTATATTCCACGGACATTCTCGCCTTAACTAAACAGGGATCGTAACCATCTGGATGACGTTTGGCTGCATAAAACCTTGTGTGGTTTTTTATACAAAATAGCAGATGCTTTTTTTCCCCCTAATATTTTGGGTGTGCTCAACATATTTCTCTAAACATTTAACCACACATATTTTCTAGTTCTCAGGAAATGCCTGGAAAGAAAGTTGTCGTGCAGGATGGTTTGGCCGAGAGTTCTTTACATGTTTTGTCAAATAAAAAATCCAATTAGCCTTTTTTCTAAAGACATTCTCAAAATTCAAAGCTGCCAATTCATATACTCTAGCTGCAGATGTCAATGCTAACAGCATGATTACTTTTAATGACGTTAAAAGTAATCATGCACGTCTTAGGAAGTTCAAGCTGTTCACTTGAGTTTGAGTCTTGAAGAAAACCAATTACCTTTCCAACAGGCTAAGTTATGGACATTTTCGGGTTCCGTGGCTGCATCTCGAAAATTCCTTTCATAAATCGGGAAACAACCGGCACACTACCTACATGTTTACCATCAATTAGATCGTGGAGTTGTGATACGCACGATTTGTATACCCCAATTGTTTGGTATGCAAGCTTCTTCTCCTCTCACTGAGATGTTTTAGTGGAGATAGTTACCAAAGATGATAGTGTCTGTCTAGAGTAAAAGAAAAATGCCATGTAAATACTGCATAGATTTTGCGAGGAATATTTTTTATATGAAAAAGGTGGGTGTCAACTGTCAAGATGGGATTAAATGAACAGCTAAAAAGAGATAAAAACACAAGCAAAAACTTATTTTATTCAATCAACATAAAATCTGACGAAAAACATGAAACAAACAAACATGAGCACACGAAACTTACATTTGTACAGATCCATAGATAACTACAAGTAGGAGCGAAAATCCAAAACAAAAAATTTGTCATCTTTGTTATAGTTCTTGGTGTCGAATGATCAAATTGAGGCAAAAATCTACATAGTTGCAAATGTGTGGTTATTTATGGCGCGCCGAACATATCTTTATTCGATTTATTTAATATATTTGAATCTTCAATTAAAAATATTCTATATTAGATTTAAAATATTCCATATGGATTTAAAATATTCCATATGGATTTAAAAATATTCCATATGGATTGAAAAATATTCCATATGATTTAAAAATATTCCATATGATTTAAAAATATTCCATATGATTTAAAAATATTCCATATGATTTAAAAATATTCCATATGATATAAAAATATTCCATATGGATTTAAAATATTCTATATGATTTTAAAATGTCCTAATTAAATTCATAATGCTGCGCGCGCGCGTCGAACCGAAACATCATGGCCGACAAACGACAAAGTCTTGCAGCTGCTTGTGAACAGGCTGCTATTGCTCTCCGTTCAATTCAAAGTATAACCAGCGAAGATGTTCAACGGATTGCTGCAACTACGTCTAATACTTCAGATGCAGAAGCAGAGAATCTAACGTCTATCCGTGCTGAATTGGCGCAAAGGTTTCCAAGCTATCGCCCATCGCCATCAGCATCTGGATCTGGAATTTCTGTTCAAGGCAAACATAGCGATTCAAATAGACAAAACAAGAAAAGAACGTGGACTACTAGAACAACAACCAAAAGAGGAAGACCTAGTACATCTAATATTGTCTATAGAGATTTAGTGATCATTCCCAATCCTGAAACGAAAAAGGTCCCAACACATAAGGCTCGTGTAGCACTTGAAAAAAATAGACTTATCGTGTCAGGTTTTCCCTTTGACCGATCTTGGGATGCTGCCACCTTAAAATGCAACATTGAGCTACAACTACCAAAACGTCATGTGCTTTTTGAGTATATGAAGGTAAGGTTGTTTGGAATCCAGCATATCTGTATCCACTTAGTACTAACTTATTTAAACTTGTTCAAATTTTAAACATCCCTCTTCTTGTTTGTACACAATGGTAGTTTTTTTCTTCAAGTTTGCTAATTTAATAGTCTTAAACCTCGGGTGAAAGTCAGCATTTATTTTTAAAACCAATGTTCATTTGATGCTAAGCTCTCTGATTTCTGTAATCTTAGCTAGTATGTATAAATTATTGACCTGCATAACTTTTAAAATATGTGAAAATTGTGTTTTTATTTAGGAAACCAAAATTAGATTGCTATTTGTACATAATAGCAGATTAACACCCCCTTCCTATTATATATGCAAATGTAAGCATTTATCATGCACCCCCACATGCTTTTATTACATACGTATGAAATGGGCAAACCCCTGCATGACCAGTCTGTATCTCCAATGTTGTGAAAGTTTTACACACCAAAATCGTAAAATTTTATTTATGGGATCATGGCTCATTTTGTCAACACCTTGTATGATCCTGCCAAGATCATGATTCATCTTGACAAGACTTAGGAAAGATGTTTCAAGGTCTTGGCAAGGTGCTTAAGCTGTGAATGCTAATTGGTGATTGATTCTTATGTTACACAATAATTGTTATCAAAACTTTTATTTCACCCATACTTTTTACAGGCATGTTATGGAGAACTTGTCAAACCTAAGTTTGCTAATGGATGTTCAATAAATGCAGATGCTTTGCTGAAAGTCTCTGGACAAGGTGCTGTGTATGTTCGTTTATTGGAAAAGCATGCTGTGTTTGAGTTAGATTGTAGTTCTTCTGACTCTGATGGTGAAAGCCTTATTCAAACTACAATGAATGTCTGTAAGTTAAAACTCACGCTATTATTTATTTTATTACTATGGTGCTAAAATTTGGGTGCACATATAAAAAATATATTTTCTTTAAAAATTAGATACAAGTCGTGCTAATGACAACAATTATCAGGAGGAATTGTCAACACCAGTCACAACACCAACTATTAAGAGCTCTTCCTCTGAGAATTATCAAACACCATTTGAAGGTAGCATACATATTTAGGTATGCCTAGGTACTACTATATTCTATTTTTTGACTATATGTTTTCCCCAATTTCAGAATTTTTGGTGAGTGATGGTGAGTTTGTTGCATCTGTTGATATTCAGTCTGATACAGCACCACAAGTACTTGCTACTCCTGAAGTCATTTCTACATCCAACCTTCCTGTGTCATATGCAGCACAAGAATCGACAGATGCTATACAAGAATCGACAACCATCACACTTCACAGATCCAATCTTAGAAAGGAGCTTATGTTGATATTTCTTGATGAGGGCATCTTGAATAAGTTTGTAGTTGTAAAGATGGTCAATGATCATGGTAATGAAGAGAAAGGTGATGGTGATGGAGTTTTTCGTGATGCTCTTTCCCTTTTCTGGCAGGACGCATACATTAGCTTGATGTTAGGAGAAGATGAAAGAGTTCCGTGCATACGACATGATATGAACAGAAGCCTTTGGGAAGCTGTTGCTCGCATTTTCTCAAAGGATATCTTCAAGCGAATTATTTTCCTGTCCAAATATCTCAAGTATTCATTGTGTCTCTTCTTTTGGCGAAAATGCTATTTGTAGAGAGATGTATTTGGAATCCTTTAAAAGGTACATCTCAAGGGCAGAGGCTGAAGTTATTGAGAAAGCACTTTCGCAAGGATTATCCTTGGATGATGATGATTTTAAAGATTTCCTTACAGCCTTCGACTGCAGAAAGGTAGTCAAAGAAGAGAATCTATCTGATATTTTGATTGAATTGGCTCATAAAGAGCTTGTTCAGAAGCCAAAATATGTTGCAGATTGTTGGGAAACTATCCTTTCAAAGATTAAGATGTTTTTTCCAACAGTTGATACTTTGGAAATGCATTTCTCAAAGTTGAAACCTACATCAGCAAAGATTTGTAGAATGTTTATTGCAAATCCAGAAAGCTCAGCAGAATCAGAAAGTATGTCGCATTTGAAGAGATATGTTAAAGGATTAGATGATTCTTTGTTACGTAAATTTCTCAGACTTTGTACTGGTTCTGATGTTGTCATTGTTGAAGGTATTAAAGTCACATTTACATCACTCGCTGGAGCAGGGAGAAGGCCTATTTTTCATGCATGTGGCTGTGTAATTGAACTACCTTCAACGTATGAAGACTTCTGCGATTTTAGGCAGGAATTTACTAACATCTTGAACCAGGTGGATATAGAAATGGACCTGGTATAGACGAGAATGTTTATTAATTCTTTAGACATATTATTTAATGTTGAGGACTAACTCGTATACATACAATGATACAACTACATGCACATATGGAGTTATTGTTTAATTGTTTATTTTGAGCGTAATTTTGTTTTACAACTTAGTTTGCTATATTCATATATCAACCAATATTTGTTTGAAAATTGTTGCCAATGTACTGCCTGTTACCTAGTATTTCTTCAATAAGATTTACCGTTTGTAAATATGCCATAACACCGTCTCCTGATTCAGCATTAATGTTTTCTTTTACAAAGGAAATGCCATCATTGTTCAAACCAGTATCAATCACAGGAACTGTCACTTGGTAATCTGCACAATCAACATCAAGTTGACCTTCATTGTCAACACCATAAGCTTGCATCTCTGCTTCATTTGAAAAGCTATCAACACCAGTGTAACCTAAATTTAAACTTTTCAGTACACCTTGAGTAAATAACTGAATTGGCGAACGATTGTGCTCTGATGAGAGTGGGTGGTGTTGCCATTGCTCAACAAACTCTTCAAGTGATTTGTTTATTCTTCTTAAAAATATGAAATGAAGTGCAAACATGTGCACTTCGTTTAAAGGATCTAAGAGTCCTGAATTCTCCAAATCATTGAAAACAGATGCATAAAAGCACAACACTCCAGCATACACATCTCTGTGTATTCTTTCAACTCTGCAGTTATGAACAGAGCTACCAGTAATGATACTACCCCGATTTAAACCTCTTTGTTCCAGCATATAAGTAGCAACTCCGAAATTCTCCATGCCATGGTCACTACGAACTCTTGACGGCAGTCCATACTTTCTCACTCCTTCCTTAAATTTTTCTAGGACTGTGTTGCTTCTATTGTTATCTGCACAGTGCACATAAACAAGTAATCGCGAGTAACCATCAATGCAGCAGTGCACAACAAACCGATATCTTATTAACTTATGATTGCCGTCTATGTGCCATAAGGCGTTTGGGCAAGGAACTGAGTATGTTCGTCGATAGATAACTGGTCTCCATCTTAATGTAATACCAACTGGATCTACTCGCCTTAAACTCTCTCGTACTTTTCTTCGTTGGACACGTATGTGTCTACTTCGCAAGGCTCCCACCAGCCTACGCTCACCAATATTTGGAGTTAGTTTTTTGTATATCTTTAACGACACTATCCAAATCTTCACTGGATATTTGAGACCATTGTAAGTCATAGTCTACATTTAGACCAAACTCTTCTCGCTTTCTTGTTATTGTAGTTATACTAACACCTAAAATCTTGGCAATGGTTCTCCAATTAAAGTGTAAAGATCTTAAAATTCCAGTTGTTCTTTACTGACTTCAATTTTAGGACGACCAGGACCATTACCTAACTTTTTTTTTCGGCATGAAAAACCCAAATACGTTGTACTTGGCCGTTGGTGACATAGAATTCCGCATATTTCATCAACATTTTGCATAAGTAAGACTAGACGAGTCTTTAGTGAGTTAAATTCCCCCTCGTGTGTTCTCGTTATTTCTGAGATGTGATCAGTCAACATGCGTAACGTTGCTGATGCCTCTACCAGTCGCCTAGTTAAAGCCTCCAAGATCTCCTCGTCTGCACTTTCTAAACTTTCGTCAAGATGGTAGACTTGACTAAATATAGATTTAAGTTCGTGAAAGAAAATATGCAATCCTCGCTCATTGCGCTCTCTCGGATGATTTACACTACCACTTGTCGCCATTTTGTTTTATCTTAATGAGCGCGCGCAGCATTATGAATTTAATTAGGACATTTTAAAATCATATAGAATATTTTAAATCCATATGGAATATTTTTAAATCATATGGAATATTTTTAAATCATATGGAATATTTTTAAATCATATGGAATATTTTTCAATCCATATGGAATATTTTTAAATCCATATGGAATATTTTAAATCCATATGGAATATTTTAAATCCAATATAGAATATTTTTAATTGAAGATTCAAATATATTAAATAAATCGAATAAAGATATGTTCGGCGCGCCATACTTATCCGACGTTCATACAACGTTTACCTGACGTTTATCCGACGTTCATTTAACATACAATTAATGATGCATTGTTTGTGAATTCATAAAAGAGCCTTTTCAATGATACGAACTAAAGTTTAATTTCCAATAATCAATTTTAAATTCATCTATTTTGCTGTGCGTGTTTTAATATACATATTTACAAAAATGCTAATTAAGCCGATTCCAATAAGTTGCCTTTTCGGACCTGCAAGAAAATAACATATATGATTAATAGAAAATGGTAGTCTATATATCATTTTTATTTGTCTTACCACCTACAACAACATTGACATATTTGTCTGTAAGAGATGCCACTTAAATGGAAAAGTAAATCGTCTGCTATATGCATATCTTCTTAATCTAATTTATATAGGATATAAATATGCGTTTGTTTTGGTTATTAATAATATGTTCCATATTGAGAGAACCTGACAATACTAATGACACCATCAATGAAAAAAATACACAAACTAAAACATGCAACTGCCGACAAAAAAAACACTGCCCACTTAACGGAAACTGCCTACAATCATCTGTAATCTACAAAGCAACTGTTAAACGTTGGACACTAACACAACTGAGACCTACATAGGACTTACAGAAAACGAATTTAAGACTCGACACAGGAACCTCACTGCCTCTTTCCGCCACAAAAAACTAACAAACTCCACAGAACTCAGCAAACACATATGGACATTAAAAGACAACAACATCGCTGACGATATCTCATGGAACATCATCACTTACAGCAAACCGTACAACAGCGCCAAAAAACGATGCAACCTATGCCTGAAAGAAAAATTTTTCATCACCTACCAACCACAACTATCATCACTCAACAAACGTAAGGAACTTATCTCCTCTTGTCGCCATAGACGCAAGGCACTTTTATCCAATTTGTAACCATACACTCAACATATTATGTAATTCTATCTTAATTTGCTCGAGCTCTTCCTCTCCACTGAATTCACCTTCCAAAATTCATATTACCGACAAATCTCAGGAACACCAATGGGTTCCCCTTTATCCACCTTCCTTGCAGAAGCTGTTATGCAACACCTTGAAAAGCAGTCAGTCACCAACAACACACACATCAGACTATGGAGAAGATTTGTTGACGACATATTTGCTATCGTCGAAAAAGACAAAACAGAACACATTCTACACACAATAAACAACACCACACAGAACATAACCTTCACCATGGACAAAGAACAGAACAAACAACTTACCTTCCTAGTTATTTTACTTACCAGATCACATGACGGCACATTAAACACACAAGTATTCCGCAAAAAAACACACACAGACCAGATACTCAACTTTAATAGCAATCACCCAACACAACACAAAATTAGTTGCATACGAACTCTCTTTAACAGGATTAAAACACACTGCAATACAGAAGAAGCCACGAAGAATGAACGCAACTACTTATACTCTACATTCAAAAACAACAATTACCCACGAAACTTTATCAACAAAGTACTAAACAAAATACACAACAAACCACAAACTGAGAAACCTAACGAAGATACAGACGAACCAGTAAAAATAGTGACATTACCATATATAAACGGAACATCAGAAATGACATCAAGACTACTCCGACCATTCAGAATAAACATCGCACATAAACCAACACACAAACTCAAATCATACTTCACTAAACATAAAGACCGAACAACGACATTTGACACAACCTACGCGGTCTACATGATACCATGTAAAGATTGCCCCAAACAGTACATAGGACAAACATCCAAGAAAATTGAGACAAGACTCACTGAACACAAGAATGCCATCAAACGACGCGACCCAAAATCACTACCAGCAGAACATACCTACAATACCAACCACACATTTGACTGGACAAAAACAAAACTTCTTGGGAGCGCACAAACAAAACACGCTCGACAATTCAAAGAGGTATGGTACAGCAAAGACAACAACACAATAAACAGACATATTGACATCCCCATCATCTATTCACAACTAAAGACAAAACCAAGACAACAAACTAATAACACATCGACTAAAATTAAATACTCGAATTTCATTAACGCAATCCATACACCAGAAACCATGACAACGCATCTTATACCATCCAATAATATCAACTCAACTACTAACCACCAATCAGACGCTCCAAACGCCTACAAAATCTTTATAAATAATATATTCGCACATTCTGACAAAGGCTCGAAGCACCGAGTTGAAAGCTTAATAAAAAATTTAAAACAAATCCAAAGAATCCTTATCATTATCATAATATGCCTGGGTTACCAATTTTCAAATATATATATATATATATATATATATATATATAGGAAGTTTATAATTTATGATTTTTCGTATAAAACAGTGCTCGATGCCCGAGAGCAGAGCGTAAATATTAATAATAAGAAGAAATACACAAAAACTACAATTTCATCCCGACAAGCCTGTTTCGTGATTGCTCTCTCTTCAGGGGATTTAATGAATAAAATACTTAAATGCTTAAAATATATATACAAAATGATGGAAGTTAGTGTATTAATCAAGGTGTATAGTTTCAAGTTAGATGACGGAAGTTAGAGTATTAATTAAGGTGTATGGTTACAAATTACATAGGAGTGTTTTGGATCTATGGCGACAAGAGGAAACAAGTATATATATATATATAAAAGATAAAAGTTTCTCCAGATTGTAAGTGACTTTTATCTTTTATATATTAAATGCCTGGATTACAAATTTTCAAAATATAGAATTAATGACTCCAGTTTGAGACTGACTTTATTAACGTTATTAGCAATAATTGTAATGTAACAGATGTTCGCCACACATTATTTAAGCACCAGTTAACATTTGAATACGTAATAACAGAGTTGCATCGGGATCTTTTGTCATCACAGGAACGTATTTCCCTTAATATTAAGGAGAAGCATGTTTGGTTCTAAATATCCATCATCAATATACTTATTGGAGACGTTTAAACTAAATATTCCTCATGAATTTTAAGTGTGCTTTTTTTCCACATTTGATTTTCGTTGCCTGAAGAAATTGCGTCAGTTTGAATCGTTACTTTTCCAAGGAAGAATCATTTTTCATTCTAGTGAATGGAAAATGTTCATAGCAATATGTGTTTACCAAGTTTAAAAGTCCACTGTTACATTGTCAATACTTGACACCCATTCACCAAACTCGTTTTTCAAACCTGTTCAACTTTTACAACTTCGTTAATAAATTAATCATATCTTTATTTGCAAAGAAAATTCATACACATGTTTACTGAACCAATTCAACAATAGAATTTACAATCAAAATAGTTTTTATCAATTTCTTCATCCCTTTGTTGACCATGAACAATATACGCTTTGAGCACCATCAATATTTGTCAACGTTTAAATCAGTAAAGACGAACTTTATCCATGTAGCTAGTGTAATTATTTATTTAGCAATATAAAAGTTTTACTTTGTGGATATTTTTTGCTACTCAGAAATGCCTTAATAGAACAGCTTCAAAATGCCATTCAATTACCAAAAAAATTTTGTATATATTTTATACTTCCATGCATCTCAAATGCAAATGGAATGTAAACAAATAATAAATTACTACAAATGTGTAAAACATAAAATGTAAATTAGTATAGATTTTTCTGTCTATAAAGAGTCCTATATTCTTGCAAAATCATTATTACCGATTTGTTGGTATTATTATTAACAAACAAAGCTTTAGCTAGAGCTATATGCTTCAAAAAACTCGGTGGTTTTCACAGTAAAAAACCTCCGTCATTTTATAACTAAAATAAAATTTTGACGAAGCAACAACGACAACAAACTTCCTCGAGCCAATCCAGTACACGGTCAAACTTGAAACTCGTTCTTGAATGAAGTCGCACTTTATATTGGTACACACTTACCAAAGCTCACTATTCACGCTAGAACATAACATTAAACACTTCTTAAAAAATGTATAATTAACACATAGAACATGCGGAGCTAACTGCGTCAAAATAGCAGAGTGGTAAAATACAAAGTTGTACCAGATAATTATTTTCTTTTCCACCAGTACATGATTCAAAGACCAAATAGGAATGATGGTAGATAACGTTTACCAACGTAGATTTTCGAATATTTTAGGTTTGCGACTTTTTAAATGATGAAAATATACGTCATGGGTAGAAGGAGTAATTCAATTGAATTTGACATCAAAATGCTTTCTGTGGCCAAGAAATATTGCCGTTTGTGTCCTATATAGAACTGTCCGTGCAAAAATCTAATTTGTCGCATCCTTGAACATGTTATCGGGCTTCACTTTTGTGATACCTATAGAAGCTATATAACCAGTCAATTATCAGATCAGAGGGTTAACTGAGTGGGTCCAGTTTTTGTCAATTAAGCTTATTTGTCTTTATGTCTTGATGTAGCTACGACTTTGAACAATCTTGGTAATGTGTATTATGATACCAACAAATTAGTCAAAGCCAAAGAGGGTGATGAAAAAGCGTTGGAATTTCAACAAAAATCACTTGCTCCTGAACATGTTGATGTAGCTACGACTTTAAACGATCTTGGCAATGTGTATTACAATACCAACAAATATGCCAAAGCCAAAGAGTGTTATGAAAAAGCGTTAGAAATTCAACAAAAATCACTTGGTCCTGAACATGTTGATGTAGCTACGACTTTAAAATATCTTGGTAATGTGTTTCATTCTACTAAAGAAAATGACAAAGCAAAAGAATTTTATAAGAAAGCGCAGGAATTCGAAAAAAATCATTTGCTTTGAATCATGTTGTTTTTACTGCATCTTTGAACAGTATTGGTTTGTTCATCTTTATTTTTGTATATTATTGCACATATCAGCGTTTTAAAGTGTAACTTTTGAAGTGTTGGAATTTCATACGAAATTTTTTTAGTTTTTATTGTTTACAATTCATGAATTGTTTTTCTATTATGTTTGGCTAGATCTGAACAGAAAAAAACAATTTCAGGAATATTGATAAAATTAGTTAAAGCTGTTTCTTGTAAAATTGGATTCATTTCGAGTAATGATCTTATTTTAGGCCGTTTAACCATCCTGAGGAATTATCTAGTCAAATTCTCTTATATATAGTCCTTTTGTAGAGCTATCTTAAAGTAGATAAGAAAGATTTGCAAATTGAGAACAATGTAATGCACTTCAATATATATTTGGGAGCAAAAATATTTTAAATCTCTTTTAACATATAAATAAAACTAAACTCAATTAAGCTACTAAGAAACAACGACATATGCAACTAAAATTTGTTTTTGGTAAACTTTTCCTTGTTTTCTTTTTATCTTATGTTTTACTATGTGGTTTG